GCTGGTGAATTCGTGACTCAGCTGCCTCTACACTTCGAGCATGATTATATATACGTAATTGATTTGCCAAGCTTTACACAACAGATCTAACATTCTGATCCATTTTGTCGTTTAAGACTCAGATTCAGAATAGCTCAATTGCTCTGCTGACATTTTTTGAAACCGGTCGAAATTTGCCCCCATTCACTTTACGAAGTAAGAATATGTGTATTGTCAAACAACATGTAAATAGAAAACGTATATTGGTTTGTAAAAAGATACGGTGATTCCTTTGGGAATTTTATAATGACCTTAGACGTTTCAAGCAATGGCTGTATAGCAGTGCTTAAATGAATATTTTTTGCGTGTATGCTCAGGTATGGACTTTTGTCTATAGGCACATCAAGATAGTTTTATTGAGAACCGTATCTATCTTTTGTTTTTATAGCGAAGTAGAGGCGATCAAACATTTGATCAGTGTAAAACCAGTATGCTTGTTGAGTCAATATAAACATTCTTTGATTTTACTATGATGTTGAGTATGCCATTTTCCTCTGATCAGTCTTGAACAGAAGTAACTGCTCAAAACTATTTTGGGAAATTGTCTACTGACGTAATTAACGCAGTGCAAAAGTATTATTTATTCGTAGAGTTCACATAGCAAGTTAGTTTTCTTACTATTAAGAAAAGTGAACATAAAACTGATCCCTTGTAGAATCGAAGATTTGCGCGTGATTATCCCTTGTGGACTGCGTGCAGTCAATTATGTAATTGGCTAACAAGTGAATGGCATTTCCAAAAAAGCACAAAACTGCTAAAAGCCTATCACGACGGACCGTTTTCAGTGTCTTGCTGTCATCCACGAATAGGCACGGTTTATGCACAACCCTTTGTCAAAATTTTTGGCATTTGTCATGGTGCTGCAGTTGTTGCAAGTAAAAATCATTGATTCGGTTTTTGCCTCTACAGAACAGAGCGCCTAAACCTAAACTGACCATATTGTTGAAAGCTTTTACATCTTCTGACTCCGTTGGTCCTTTTCCTTATGACGACCGATGCCAGTTCCTTCCATAGGTACCGAATTGGTGCTAAATAAAGAATGATTCTTTTGATTCGTACCGCTACTTATGGAATCGGAAACTGCTTGTACTGTGTACTGCTGCACATGAATCTCTTTGAACGTACTGAATGTTACTTATCCCAGAGGAAGATCGTCATTGTCTTATGATATACGAAGCGTTCGCAATAAAATCCGTGCTCCTATCCGTCAGACTAATATTAGGTTTATAGCGTTAAAAAACAATCAGCTTATCGGTGCTTTTCGGACACCGTGCTTCATAATGAAAGTATGCTTGAAGGTCTTAATTATTTAGCAAACTAGCAATACAAACTTCTCACACAATATTTTTACTCAATCGCCGTACGATTATGTATTTCTCTTTCGGGGTTATGTGTTTTGCTAATTATTACCCTGGATGGTCAACTATCAGTTGGGTTAAGACGAAGTGCGGGCATAAGGTGTGTTCGTATTAAACAGCCATACACATCGGCCATTCATCGGTAGCTTGGTGGCGCAGTCCGTAAGAAATCGGCTTCGAACTCCGGAGTTGCGAGTTCCATTCCTGCGGCAGACAATGCTTGTCGTTACCACCACTTTCCTTGAGCAAGTAATTTAATACAGTTGCTTCAGACCAGAGTTGCTCTGTTATTAGAGCCTCAAACTCAGAACCGACAGGTCACGAGTTTCAGCCATGATCGAAGTAAATTCTTTTCGTTTTTTCGAGGTTGATAAAAGAGTACCGCTTTGCTAAATCAGGGAGAAGGAAACAGCTAACAGACCATGCTTATTGCACAGCTTCTCGTGATTCTGCCTTAAAAATAAGACACTCCTTGTTGATAACATGGAAGTGGAGATCAACGCCCCCACCACTAACTTCGTGAAAACAAGGTTGTTAGAATTGGCCCTGTAGTATAAGTATGAAGAAGTAAGACTGACATTTCCAATGTTTTTCTTTTTTTCATTCATCGTATGATCACAACGGCATTCCATGCTGTCGTTGTTGTTCACAAGTCAACGACTTGCTGCTCGCTTCTCTTCTGGATGCACCGACGCAGTGTGGGATAAATTTTTTGCTGAAGGTATTTCGTGGTAAACGTAGGAATTGTCACTTATCCGGATTCCAATGGACCTCTTTGCCACTATCCCACTGCATCGCTAAAATTTCTTAGTTTTCTTCACAGAACTCTAAGGCCTTAATTCTTTACTCTCCCGGTATGCAAATTTCAGAATTTTTAAACCGGTAATTTGGAACTTTTAATTCTCTTATCTGTTCTAATGCCTTGCGTATTTTTTTCTAAATTTTATCTTCATATTGTGTCATATGTTTATTGCTCTTTGCCGTTTATTATGCAAGGCACGACGGTTTTGATAAAGCTGAAATCGTCATAATAAAGCCTGAAGAATCTATCATATATCGAAGCATGCTTTACCGTTTCAACTATAACAAAAGACTAATGAACACGGATTTTCAGGGCGTATTTTCATAGCCAAAATCTTCAGTGTAACTTCGTGCTAGATTCAAACTTCGTGGGGCTAGATTCAAACATCACGAATCTTGGCTGCAGATGATTATGAGAAGAAACAGCAACTACAATACAAATAAAATTAGGGAAATGGAGAACTTTTTTTATGCATGCTTCTTTTATCCACATTTATGCTTCGTCACCGCAGTGTTCTTCATTACATTTGGACGTTTACAGTACATGTTGGTTCTGCATGCCACGGTTACATGGTAGCAAGCTTTGGGCTATCTTTTTTTCTTATGTATCACACGATAAAATCCGAAGGGATTTTTGACAGGACGGCAAAGAGATTTGGATTCATTCTATTTGACTTAGGTATTCCGTAATGAATACGACGATTAGCCATTTCATACAAAGACAGAAAAAAAAATATTTGCATATTTTAGACAATGAAAAATAAAGTAAATGTTGCCAACAAAGATGCATGAATAGGTAGATAAGTGCGTCGGTCGACATTTCACAAAAAAGCACTGCAGATCGTTCACAACTGTCAACTGTTGACACACCACATCGGTTTATTTCAGCTAATGCTTTCGTCGCCACTGCGCGATTTCAACTTTTCTTGAGGATCGAAACGGTGACAGGTGACGTTTCGCATATCCAGAAGCCTCTCATCGTCACTGCCGCATAGCCAGTTTTCTTGTGGCAAAATGACACAGATGTTGTTGAAAAGTGACTTTGACGAAAATGGGCCTTCATTTCACGGAGTTGAGGCAGTTATTGGAAATTGCAGCCGGCAAACGCAGATATTTTTCGCACCTTTTTTTGCAGCGGTTTGCCATCTTCCTCTTGTCCCTCTGTTTGTCCTCATAAGATGTACAGCAATCGACATATCAAGCACAAGTGAAGATTAGCACGTGCTGTAACCTGATGAGCACGGGATTGACCTAGCCTCAAGAGAGCGGCTTGACAACCGACCGAATTACTGAATTTGAAAATCTTAGTTGAATGAATCTGTTATTGCTCGAATGAAATTGCCCACAAATCCATTTTTTCCAGCGGAAAGGAACTTGAGTGACAGAGAATCATGTGGCGAAAGAATAACTGAATCAACAAAAAATACAGACGTCAAGTGCCACAGTATGACAGCAAAAAACTGCATGACAGGATTACAGAAAAATGTATATACAACGTTTATTGAGGAAAGCATTCAGGATACTGAGCAGATATAAGGAGTTCTGTTTGACAGATTTTTGGA